GGTTAAGCCTTAATGCTCTCCCTCTCCCTCCGCGGGGAATTTCGAAAAATCCCTTCTTAGTGTGCGTTTCCATGACGTATCCTAACTGTGTACAAAATTTCACCTCTTTAGGTTCAGCGGTTTGCTCTTGGCGATGATGAATCAGTGACTCAGTCAGTCAGGACAAGTAATTTTATATTTTTAGATTAGGAAATAATAATAATTACAACAAGAAAATTTTGAATTAAACTATTGTTTTGGACTGGGAAAATATTAAGATACAGTGGAACTCTAGTTAATGAGTTGTGTTTTAATGATAAAAAATTCTACTTCGAGTAGGTGCATTAAAAATAATCATATTTATTAAAGTTAATTCTGGTAAAATTTGAATAAGAATGAGAATTATTTTTTTATTTTTGAGAAAGGCGCTAGCATTCGACGAAATTTTATGAACAGCAGAACAAAGACTATGCCTTCTTTTTACTTTTCCGGCTGTTATACATAAGAGGAAAAGTATGGCGATCGGTCAAAAAATGACCCCTCCCCAAGATTTTTACATTTTTGGACTCGGAGACCTTGAAACGTCGAGAAACGCTAAAAAATTTGGGATGTTTTTTTCTGTATGTATGAATGTATGTGAGCGCGCGGCACGATTTTGTCTACCCTGTTTGAAGCCTAATAACTCCTGTGCTTTTTGTTGAAAATTTCTGAAATTTTGCAGAGAGGTTTGTTTATTTGGGAAATTGATGCTATTAAATTTTGGATATTAAAAATCGAGAGGGTAGGGAGATAGATTGGGTTATGTATCATATCTATTCACAGTGAGGTCGGATTTAATGACGATTTTACTCGTTATTAGCATTTACAAATTTTTACAAAACTCGTCTCTACCATCAAATTTAAACCTTTTGCATTTTATAATAATTAATAAAATAAGAAAAATTTTTATAACACAATCTCATAACAGATGACGCCATACACAATTTTATTTATTTATTACGATTAATTAATAGTATAAAAGCTATTTTTTAAATAAAATATCATAACAGTCGAGAAAGTTACGTAACTCGTTGCTGATTTTTTTTACTTATTCTATTGAATACAGTGGTATTTTTATGAATTGTCATTTGCATAAATTTATAATTGTCAAGAAATTGTGCAAAATCTTGGAAAATCCAAGATTTTGCACATTTCCTGTAACGTTAAATTTTAAAAATATTATAAATTACCGAGGACATCAGCTATTAAGATTATCTATTGATATGCCATTTATTTTGAACCACATACTATTTTGAAATAAAATAAATCTAATAGTTTGATTATAAGTCAAAAATCTTATTATATAATTTATCTTGATTTTCTATTATATTAATAGAAAATAAAATAATTGTTAATATTTTTATTTTTTAAAGAAAAGTTAACTAATTTATAAGGAATGGAATTAAATATCGAAATAATTTCATATGATTTATTTGGAATTATTATATCGAAATCATTGATGCGTATCGTAAATACGTAATGAAAGGTATTTCCAGCTTTTCTTCTTGCACAGTCATCGGTACACGATGATACAGTATTGTCTGATAGGGGAAATTGCAATAATAGAAAACGACGATATAAATATCACATTTTAATATTCCTTGTAATAGATGAGAACGTATTGTCGATAGTACGACATGATTTTACAGTTTGCTACATTCGCCATCTTTGTACTTTTGTTGACTTCTGTTTCAGATGGAAAAATTTTTGGAAGATGTCAGATGGCATCCATATTAGTTAAAAATGGATTTCCTAGGAGAGATATACCCGATTGTGAGTCTATAATTATATAAGAGTTGCTACATTTTTGTGATTCACAATTCGAATGGATGAATTTACTAATTACTAGAAAGTATTTTTGTAATTTGTAATTTCTTTAACATCGTTGTACAGGGATCTGTATGATATACCACGAAAGCAGTTTCAATACCCGTATCAAAAACAGAAAAAGAGACGGAAGCATTGATTATGGTATCTTCCAGGTATTTTATTTGAACTTTTTAAATATTTAATTCATCGCTTCTTCCTATTTTTTAAAAATTATTCTTCATTTAGATTAATGATAAATGTTGGTGCGCACCTCCCGGACCTTATAACTTTTGCAATATACATTGCTCAAGTAAGATGCAAAAATTTCCTATTATATAGAGTTTACAATAAATATTTATATTATTTATTATTTTAATATTAGAACTCGTGGACGATAATATTAGAGATGATATGAAATGCGCCAAGTTAATTTTCAGAAGGAGATATTTTTATGCTTGGTATTTAAAATTCTCTCCTTACAAACAATTTTAAATAATTATCGTATTTTTACTTACAATTAATTTAATTTGCAGGAAAGGTTGGAGAAAATTTTGCCATCGAAGGAACCTAAGATGGTACGTGAAAGGATGCAAATATTAACAAAAAATAATATTTTTCTGTTATACTCGTGCAGCTTGCCTTTAAATGTTATTCAAATCTATTTGGAAATTTAATTGTCGAAATTAAATGATGGGACTTTGTTTAGGGTTTAGGTTTATTTAGTTACGGCAACGCGACACATGGGCGATCTACCGAGAAAGAAATACCTCACAAGAGGACTTTTATGTAAAACTGGCTCCTATTTAGGTGTTAATAACGTGAAGAATACCAGAAAAACTCCACGTGGCCAGCCCGTTGGCCAGGCGCGAACCAGTGTTTAAGGGTCTTATATACTCGGCCACTAGTGGGTCCTTTGTTTGGGGACGTGATCTTTCTTTCTTTGGAATATTACTTTATGTAAAGAAAATGAAGAATAAATTCATAATTGAAATTGAATTTTGCAATTTTCTCGGCGATAATCCTCTAGTTTTGAATGCCATCATCATTGTTATTTATAAAGGAGTTTTTGGTACCATTCATAATAATCTCGTAACACTAGTAAGATTGATATCTGAGAGCACTTGTATGACAGTACAGTAGACCCCCAAAAAACCGAGTCCAAAAAACGAAAATCCCAAAAACGGGCCAAAAAATTGCGACAGTATTCGTATAAAGACGCTAAAAGGGACTCAATCAATCAATCAATCAATCAATCTTTATTAAACATATGTGGTACATACATTCTCGGCTCCGCATAGCATAGCAGAGATAAATACAACATGAATGATGATTACATAGATTACATAATAATAAATTTTTACAATAACAATGAAATAAATTTAGTATAATAAAATTAAATAATTAATTAAGATTAAGATTATACCTAAATTGCAGTAGTGACAAAGCAAAGTTAGAAAATATGTACAAACATAATATGTGCATATGGATACAAGAAAGAAAGGCAGCAGGGAGCTGCAGAAAATTTGCACAATGTAAAGTGGTCCAGTTGATGTGTATACNAAATAGGCTATACACAGATTCATTTTATTATCTTAAAATGGTCTTATAATAAAGTATTTTTAAAGATCATTTTAAGCCATTTTCTCACATTTTTGGACTCGGGACCTTAAAACATCCAGAAATGAAAAAAAATTTGGGAGGGGGTTTCTGTATGTATGGGTGTTAGTATGTGCGTGTGAGGGGGTACGATTATGTTCATTCTCTTTGAAGATTAATACCTCCTGTGCTTTTTGCCGAACATTTCTGAACTTTTGCAGGGAGATTTTTTTATTAGCGAGTTTAATGCTATTAAATTTTGGTGGTTAAAGGTCGAGGGACAGGGAGATAATGGGCGTCTTTTATATCTCCAGTAGGGTCGGATTTAATGACGATTTTACTCGTCATTAGCATTTACAATTATTTTAATAAAAAAAAGCCCTTCAAAATTAAGCTTTTTGCCATTTTATACTACTAAAAATATAAAAAGCTTTTTAAAAAATGAAATACGATAACAGATGGTTTCACTAAATGTTACCGGAAAACTTAAGCAACTCGTTGCTGGAATTTTTAATATTGGCTATAGAAATATTATTACATGTGTTGTAAAGCCTTTTTAAAATATATTATTTCATTTTTAATAATTAAAATTAATTTATGACATTTATTTTTATTGAAAAACATATCATTACAGAAAATTCATAAATACAGACTAAAATTTTAAAACAGATATTAATAATAAAAACAATGGATATTTCTAGTCTTAATTGTAATTTTTGTTGTTATTTCTTATTTATTTTTTGTTGTTGTGATATCATTGGATGTATTATCGAATTTTGCTGTGATTAATGCTCTTATCTGTCAATTGCAACTGTAGCGAAAAACATTATTTATTATATTAAATCATCCTCCGCCCAAAATGTGAGAGACCATTTCTTCCTAAAATTGTTTTCTTCTTCTTGTAATCTGTTAAATGACAGTACAGCAAGAAATATTTTTTTTATTAACAAATAGTTTTTTCCGTAAGTCACAAAAATATGTCTACGTTAAAAAAGAGAGAGAGAGAGAGAAAAGTAGGATTTAATTGAAAAATTTGACTCTACAATGCTGTAATATAACTATTAAAAAATTTATTTTATTCGATGTTTCAATATTTAATTAATACTTGTGCATCTATATTAGTTGATAAATTGCATCATATTATTGAATATATAAATATATTAGGAACTGCAAAGCTGGATTTTCTAAGTGATTGCGATATTATCAACACAACAACTCATCATTTTTACTGGAAACAAGGTGAGAGGTGTAAAAAAGTGTAAAGGTATTTAAAACAGAAAGCTACAAAAATAAATAAATAAATAAATTACTTAACTTACGAAGCAGAAAGCAAAGAATTATACATTAACTATACACTAACAAGTTGACGAGTCCTCCATGATATAATTCTGCTACAGTTGTTGCTATGACAGTAGCCTATACAAAGTTTACTATGAACTTCAAGGCTTAAGGCGAAGGAGTTAATTTTGAGGGGAGAAATGAGTTTTATGAAAAAATTGTAAATGCTAACGAGCAATTATTTATTGTGACATGGTCACAATACCGGGCTGAAATTTTTAATCATATATTTTTAATTTATTTAATTTAAATCATATGCTCTCCATCTCAAATTAGTAGTGTCTTGCCCCCATACATAATACTTTTCCTGTTAGCAACAGTGTCGTGCCGTCATATATCTAACTCCTTACAGTGAAATTATATGAATTGAAAGAACGTGACTTTCGGTTTGCATCGAAAGTTAATCGAGGGCCTTCTGCACCTAATCTATCCATATCTGGTCTCGTCTTTTATCTATCTAACTCCGTTCTCGAAATTTAGGAAAGACAGTCAAGACGGACGACAGTGAGAATTTATTGGTCTAAAGTAATTTCAAATTGCAGCCCAATACCGAGTAAAATCTTCATTAAGTCCGATCCCTCTTGAGTTATAACACATGACACACTTCTATCTTCCCATCCTTTTGACTATTAATCACCAAAATTTAATAACATTAATGTCTCTTATATACAAGTTTCCACACGAAATTTCGTTTTTTAATCTTTACCCAGGATTGGGATTATCAGGATTGGGTAAATCCTGATGTAGAAAAAAACGTGTATAATTCTTGTATAATGTTAAAAAATTAACCGTTACTTTGGTAGCATCATTTACAACTAAATTTAATGAATGACAGAGATGCAAGAGGTACAGAAAAGGCTCTAGAATTTATTTTCCTTAAATTTACAATTTATGTATCCGTTTGTCATAAAAATTTGTCTCTTCACTTTTTTCTCGAGACTACAAATATTCTAGTACAAAGTAACTGGTTTTGACTTATTTCTACTTAAGAAGTAGTAAAATAATTAGGCGATTAAGGAATTGGGGACATAAACAAAACCCTGACGAAAGAGCCGAAATTTTACTTAAACAAAAGCCTAACCGAACCAATCTCTAGCCGAGTACAATGGGAGTGATTTCTTCGAATTATTAGATGTAATAAAGACAGACATTTTTCCAGTTCGACGAGAGTGACCGAAAAGTTGTAAATTTTGGAAATTTCCGTGGACAACACCTGGTCCTAAAACGAATTAGAAAGAAAACGACGGACAATCTATTAAGTTTAACATATTTAGACTTTTACAGCTATGGTGAGAAACGTTTAAAATTTACAAGAACCCTGTTGCGTCTTTTGACATTTGATATTGACAGGTATCGGCACCCTCGGGATTTGGCAGCCTGCGTGCATGTACACACTGCACACCTAGCAGGACCGTCTCTGATTCCACTCGTAGGCAGCTATTTGACTAACTTGTAAGTGGTTAAAACTTAAAAAGTAAAGAAGATTTTATGTTATTTTTATGTACGTTTCTTTACAAAGCTATATTTAATTATAATTTTCTTTAAAAGTATATTCATACAATTGAAGAATATTTTGTACCAGGTATGTACCGGTACATCCACCACACATTTTATTTCACCGAGTAAGTTTTTATAATTTTATTTTTAATTTTAGCCCTTATATCGTGGCTAGCGATTCGGAATGTAATTGCGATATTGAAAATTTATTTTAAAAAAGTTTTGGCTCGAGATCATATAATGAAAAAGAAAACATTATTAAAAGAGAAAGGCCA